GTATTCTGTCGCGTGCTTAAATTAACGTTTCAAAATAATTGAACCAATCACTCCTGTCATATTTAATAATTGTCTTTCCATTTATATCCCCACAGCTCCATCATATCCAATACTACATTAATCTTGGCTGTGAGTATTTTAATTAAAATAATGAAAAAAGAAACTTCAGCGTAAATTGATAAGGTAAAATAAACGACTTGTTAAAATTGCATTTTCTCACGGTGCAAGAGCTAAATCAATCATTTGAAAAATAATTGAGCAGTATTAGAGAGAAAAAAATGACTAAAGTCATAAGTATGGCAGTCGACAGGAGGTCCACTGGCCTTTCCTCGATGGGCCATAACTATTGAGGGTATATAACGATACAAGGGTACTTGCAGTTTTTTTTCTATTGCGCATTGGTGGCAATAGCTTCTAACTAGTGGTCCCCATTGGGCAATATTGCCCTTCTTTGGAACAGAGGCACAATTTCGCTAGTTCCCTGTACCAGTACCGGGACAAATAGATCACATTGGCAACTAATAAGCCGTTTGGTGCTGCCAAGCCCCTCTTGAACTTCACCCCAGATTCACTGTCTTACTTGTTTCCCCTCCACGTTTTTACCCATTTTTTCCCCTCCAAGCACCCAAAAACCCTCGAATATTATTTTCGTCTCATTTCTGGAGGTCCCCTGTGTGAGTTTCCCGCTTTCTTCTACAATATCATGTCGTTCATCAATTGTGTTAGGCATATATAGAGTAGACATGAGAGAGTGCGCGCGCATACACACTAGAGGGGTGTCCACTATTGTCATGGTAATGTCCCTGGCAATCGATCCGCCTCATTATGTCATGAAAAGCCCACAAAAAGTGGCCTCAAAGTCACCCAAAAATGTCCATCAGTCTTTTCATGGCAATGTTATGCATTCGTATTCTATTATTTGTTCAGAAATATTTCGGGAATTTTCCATTCATTTTCACTTTATTAACTTCAGACTTCAGGACGGATAATAGAGACAACAAAGTTTCTTCGTTCAATTGGAATTTTTCCAGGAAAAAACCGTCTCACCGATAACTTGTAGACAATCTTCGGGTTTTACTATTCGTTTTGAAGCCGTTATGAATAGTCTTGGAAATGGATCATGAAGTAATTTGTTAAATAGGGTGTTTTTATTTTTCTTGGCTGTTTTTAGTGAAATTAAACATCGGAATTCCGTTTTATTATTGTCGACTTCTGTTTACGAATCCAAGTACGCATAAATAATTTTTGATAATGAAATTTTTGTTAATATATATGCTCTTAATTTGTTATCCCAATTAATTTCATTTAATTTGCATATTCCAAAAACTAACTATTTCCTTACAAGCTCGGAGAAAAAATCAAATAATATTTTTCAAATTCATTAAAAGAAGATTTCAGTACTTTAGAACAATTAAAATTACAATTTGATTCAGATTAACTATGGAAAAAAATTTTTGGAATCTTATAATTTCTGAAAAATAAACAATTTATTGAAATTAACCCAAGTCGGGTTATAGATTTTGCGCCTTAATCTTGTATTTAATCACGTATAAATGTTCCTACGTATGTCCCTTCAAATGCCTTTAATCTCAAAATAGTAGTTCGAAACTCTCAAATAAGTCGATTACCCGTCTAATTATGTGGCACGGGTTGCGTTATCAAACGGACCCCATCGTCTCCCACAAAATCTAGACTGTAGGTTCGCTATATCGTTCTTGGTCTCCTCGTAACCCTCTGCAAGGTCATTGTTACCTCGTTACTAACCCTCTGATACGGTTTCTCTTATGCTCTGAAAGGAAATCTACCCCTCAATGCCTCTAACACCGAAAGCATATACCATCTACTCGCGCATTCTCTTGATCAATCGAATAAGTGTATATTGAGAAAACCAAGATTGCTTTTTTCTTGAGAGAAAAACACAAATAAGTCAATGATAGAATCGAATTCTTAGCTCCTTTCGCCCTTATCCTCATCAGTTGATCCACATCAGATTTTCCATTTATTTTCGGTCGATAATGTTTCTATGTTTTTCTGTAAATTCAGAATTATTGGAAGTACGCGTAGAGAGCAAAACAACGAATATATAGTAATTATATCCACACTGAACGAAAAATGAGCTATTCAATGATGTTGTAGGTTAGCTTGGCTCACAACATTCCTTAGGGCTAGTTTTCTAACTGGCTAACTTCGGCTTAAGAACTCCAATTAATTGAAGTCAAATCCAGATGAAATTACAGCTAATGGGTGTGTTTAACCACCTATATAGTCATATTAAATTATGACTACCAGCCATAATAACTTATCAGAAAACTGATCCTTAGGGTTAATTTCTTCTGCGCAAGGCGTCGTCGTAGAAATTTCGTGAACCCGATGAAAGTTTATTGTGGAGTTAATTTTTCTTTCCGTGCACATCGAAAAATTCATATTTTTACAAAGGGATGAAAAATATAAGGTTCTTGCGTTTTGTTATTATTCAATGATTTATTAAGTTTCAATATAATGATAAATATCATATTTATTCACATCAATGCCATCGAAATTCGTCAGAAAAATAAAAAAAACTGAATTTTGGCTAAGGTGTTGAAAATCCTCAATTCATACTACACCAATTTAAATGAAAAGATGCCGATATTACCCCGCACTCTCCTATATCATTTATATGTTCTTCCATGGAGATAATCCTATCAGACTGTATGTTGGATAGCGGAGACAATAGATATGGGTTAAACTTGGTGTTGGTGCAATCAATACTGTTTCGCTATTACAGTGGAAACACTCTCACCGAAACCGGGCCTACACTGGCTTTTGTGTAGACGAAGGATGGTGGAGGGTAAGAGGATGGGACGCGTGGTCCGCATACTGATTAGCGTGGCGAGAGGAAGACAAGAGGAGCTAGGACCGACAATACCAACCGATATCTTTGGATTTCCGAAAGGGAAACTGAGGACAAAAAAAAATTTGTTCAATCTCTCCACCAATATTCCACTCTAAGTTAATATAGGAACCGAAAATTCACTTTTAAATTTACCAACTTGTCAAGGTAGTTGATTTCAGGTGATATTGTAAAGTATCAAGAACTATCACTTAACGACGCAATTAAACTATAACAATTGGGTCGTACGTTGACGGTAACGGAACGATTCTGGTGGGAAGTTAAAGTGAAGTATGGCCCAATATACGACGGAATCTTATATTTCTAACCAAATTATAAAGGTATTGATTCCTGGTTAATATTCTCTAGTATCAGTATAATATGATTTTTTTTATAACTTCAATCATGAATAAATATGAAATATCATTGTTCAGTTGAAGGATGGATCGACCAGAAAAGTTTCGAGCATTTTATTTATAATCGAAAAAATTGACTTCTTTTTTGAATATCTAAGAAATCGTATAAACGGGCAAAAAATAATTCTTAATCTATCCTGTGCAGAATTTCATCTCTAATTACTTTGGTTTTTCTTGCAAAGAGATGAATTGTAAGTCTTCACTGGTGAATATGATTGAATTTAAAAAATAACGGTAACTTTTATCATATAGAACTTATTTACTTATTAGCAACACATTGCTTCATTAGTCAGTACCGCCGCAGTAGTGAAACTCTGAAACTGAACGAGCGATGTAGGGGAATCACTACAGCACGATGGAAGCGATGCGCGGACAGAACTGCGTCGTAATTTCGGCGCGCTCGGTTTGAATTCTATAGTGTGTGTCACTTTGAATCGGATTCCTCAACATCCTTTACTTTCAAGTTACTCTACCCTACGAATTATTAGTGGCGATGCGCCTTCAAGGTACCGAAGTATGGATTTTTTAACATTTGAGAGATTCACACAGGAAGCATGCATATTCTCAGCACTGAATTCGGTTAATGCTACACCTGCTGCGGTAACAGTTACCGAATGGCGTTGTAGAATCAGAACAAATATTCAGTAACAGCTACTCAATAATCTTTGAATAAATGGGGCAACTGTTCATATTGCTAGATGTGACCGAATTAGAAAGTATAGTTAAACGCCAACTAACCAGTTGACGCATAAAATGAGCTGCTCATAACTCATGACAATTCGACAATGAGCACGAGTGGTTAATAACACAAAAAATAGAACTGGACAGTATTATTACATAGTCTGATACATGCACTGTATATCAATATGAATATCAATGAATGTAAATGAATGAATAAATATATATGTATGTATATGTATATTCATTGACATTTAATGTATGAAGTTGGTATAAAAAAGACCTGAAAGGGTATACCCCTTATACCCCTATGTAAAAATAAATCTAATTCATATATATATAAATAGCTCATGTATCAGACGACACTAAATAGATGTCGTGTTAATCCGGATTCGGTAATTATTACCGAATATTCGCTTGCATCAACAGGACGTTTCTGTGCATTTCAGGGCGGGGGGGGG